TTTTTTTTTTTTTTTGGCAGAACCGGGTATTGAACTCAGGCCCTTATTCTACTGAGCTATTTCCCCAGCCCCCGATCTTCCTGTTTTCAGCCTCCCCAGCTCTGGGATTCTAGGCATGCACCACCACACCTGGACTCATTTGAGGACTCAGCCCACCTGGGGATGGGGCCAGCATGGCATGTGGTACCAGGGATCAAACCCTGGCCCCTGCTCTTGCCTAAGTAGGCACTTAGTCCACTGAGCTATCTCACCGGCTATAAGATTTCTTTCTTTCTTTCTTTCTTTTCTTTTTTTTTTTTTTTTTTAAGATTTCTTTCTGAATATATTCTTTTTCAGCTATGCTAGATCACTTTGCCCATGACAAACATTGGAAACCTAGAAGTAGGGGAATCATTTCTGTGCATGAATTAGTTTAAGTTTTGAAGTTCATGAATATAGTCAATTTTTTGCATCTTGCACCCCTCTGCCTACCATACACACACCCCTGCCATTGCATGTGCTGCTGCTTCACAGAGTCATAGACTCAGTGAAGGTCAAACAGGTATATTGAGTCTGGGACTAGACAAGGACCATGCTTCCCAAGGGGAGCACAGTTTGAGGATGTGTGTCTACCCTGAGCCTCTGCATTGAGTACCTGAGCATGTGGGCAGTCACAGGGTATTTGCCAAGGAAGGACAGGAAGGTGGTCTTTCCTCTTAGGCACACCTAGTTGCCAGGGAGCCTAACTCCTTGCCCTCTTGGCCAAAAAGAGGACTAGACTCGTGAAGCAGTGCCACTGCTTGTTCCTGCCCTGCAGTCTGCAGATCTCCCAGGCTGGAGGCAGGCAGCAGGAAAAGTTCTCTGTGTGGTTGGAAGGGTGCAAGTGGTTTGTATGGCCAGTGCGGAGGCTGTGGCTTAATGTCCCAGGCTTTCCTAGATAGAGTTAGCTTCTCTTCTTGGCATTGGTGCTGTGTATAGGAAGCTGAAGATTTCAGTAGCCCTGGCTCTAGACATAGGCTCTGGTTACCAATAGGTGGCCACCCTGTATCTTCTCACTTAACGTGCAGAAGGTCCCTGCCTGCCTGCCTTGCAGGAGTGTGCATACACGTGACATTTAGCTGCACCTTGTTGGTGTTCCAGGGTGGGGATCAACTCTGATCAGGCTATGGTCCATCCTTCAACACCTCTAGCCTCCACTCCTAGTCGCTGTCCCAAGGCGGAGATTGTACTATCGCCTCAGGAGAGTGTGATCTTTCTTGCTGAATAGGGTCCAAGTGACTACTGTCTAGCTGGGCCTCATGCCCCACTGGTCCCCTCCACTGGCTAACTAAATTCCCCTGTCTTATACTCTACCCTTAGAATCAGTTTCCTGGGGATATCACCCTCCATAACAGAATTTTTGGCTTGTCTTTTTCATTCTTTTGGTAATAAATTTAGTTTTTTGTTATTTTTTCCTTTTTTTACATAATATCCCATGTTTGTGAAGGAATTTATTTTTTATCTGGCACCAAGCATTGCATTTGGGATTCCCTCTTCCATTTCCCCTGTCATGCAACACAGATACCGTGACCCACAGAGAAACATCCATGGTGAAGGATAGCTAGCCGGGAGTAGCCACAGTAAACCGTGCTAGGCTGTGTGTGACCTGCAGGGTAGGAGGAGCCAATGTAGCTGGAGTCTCTGGTGATCCTGGTGCCACCTGGGCCCAGAACTCTCTCTAGTTGCTGGGCAACAACTCTGGTCACCTAGCAACGCCTTGCAGCCTGGATTTCACTGATGCTCCACATCACAGCCTTCAGGCCTCTCTTCCCCATTTTGTCTTGTGTCTGTAAGTCTCTTCCTTTAACCCAGGCGCTTTTCCAGCACACCTTCCCACCTCCTCCCCCAGCTCCTGACTATCCAGTGTGTGGAGAGCGTATGGGAGATCCCTGCATATGCCTATAACTACCCCTCAAAGGAAAAAAATCAGGCTCCTCCCTCTTGTCCTGAAAGGCTTTCAGGACATGGCAGTCTCTGGCTAGGGCTGGGGCTGACACAGAGTACAAGGCCTGGTCCTCCAGTTCTGAATGAGCCCATTCTTGCTGTAACTAACAACTACCCAGAGGCTCTTACAAAGAGTGGTTGGTAGCTGAGGGAGTGTTGTTCACAGGGCAGGTTAACCAAAAAAGAACAGCCTTATGACCTCTGGGGTCTGGAAGACACAGCCCTAGGAGAGGGCCTTAGCTCCCTCCCTTGCCAGTATCCCTAGAGCAGATGGAGCTTCCAAGTCCTGCTGGAAAGACTCTTGGCCCCCAGCATGAAGCAGCCTGCAGCCTGCAGCCTGCCCTGCCTTGATATTCAAGAGCTTTGGATGTTTGTGGGTACGGATCAAGGTTCTAAGCCCACATGCTCACCATTTGTGGCCCCTTGATGGTATCACCTCTGTCCCATAGGTACCTACTTCTCTCCCCAGAATCATTCTTCTAAAACAAGCCTTCATTTTCCTTTCTGCCCTATCAGCATCCATCACTGTTAAGTACTCAGAAGATTAGTAAAGAGCTGAGCTTCCCTAACAGGCCCTGGCTGAAGAGATCCACTCCTTGCACCTGGGAGCCCCTCCCCCACAGGGCCAAAGAGAGAGCAGAGGAAGAGGCAGATCCTGGGGTGGCACTCTTGCTGGAGACCAATTGCTGGACAGTCTCAGCTGCTGTGTTGTGGTCCAGTATGTTAGGCAGTGGTATCTCTGTATCGCCAGAGTCGTAGTACAGTGCCGTAGCTTAAGGAATGAGCATGCACTAGGGAGTCTTCACTGTGCCATCTCTCTGTGGCATTGTTAGCGCCCGCAGGAGCCACAGCATTGACTCTATCGCCCGATTGCTCTGCTCTGATCTTGATCAGTGTGAGGGCTTTATAGGACAATATTCACTTCTTCTGGTGTTTGCAAAGCTCCCTGGTTGGACCTGAACATGCTAATTGTTCTTTTTGCATTCAGTTAGCACATTGTAAGAAGGATAAAGACAGCATTTCCACTGGGCCTGTGAATTACTGGCATCTAATAAAGAAACC